ATGACTGATGATGATAAATAGAATCCACCTGTGTGTAATCAAGTCTCATTATAAATGCACCTGCTCTGTGATAGTCTCAGGAATGTGTTCAAAGCGCAGAGAACATCATGAAAACCAAGGAACACACCAGGCAGGTCCGATATACTGTTGTGGAGAAGTTTAAAGCTGAATTTGGATACAAAAAGATTTCCCAAGCTTTAAGCATCACAAGGAGCACTGTGCAAGCAATCATATTGAAATGGAAGGAGTATCAGACCACTGCAAATCTACCAAGATCCGGCCGTCCCTCTAAACTTTCATCTGGAACAAGGAGAAGACTAATCAGAGATGCAGCCAAGAGGCCCACGATCACTCTGGATGAACTGCAGAGATCTACAGCTGAGGTGGGAGAGTCTGTCCATAGGACAACAATCAGTCGTACACTGCACAAATCTGGCCTTTATGGAAGAGTGGCAAGAAGAAAGACATTTCTCAAAGATATCCATAAAAAGTGTTGTTTAAAGTTTGTCACCTGGGAGACACCAAACATGTGGAAGAAGGTGCTCTGGTCAGATGAAACCAAAATCAAACTGTTTGGTCACAATGCAAAATGATATGTTTGGCGTAAAAGCAACACAGCTCATCACCCTGAACACAACATCCCCACTGTCAAACATGGTGGTGGCAGCATCATGGTTTGGGCCTGCTTTTCATCAGCAGGGACAGGGAAGATGGTCAGAATTGATGGAAGATGGATGGGGCCAAATACAGGACCATTCTGGAAGAAAACCTGTTTGAGTCTGCAAGAGACCTGAGACTGGGACGGAGATTTATCTTCCAACAAGACAATGATCCAAAACATAAAGCCAAATCTACAATGGAATGGTTCACAAATAAACGTATCCAGGTGTTGGAATGGCCAAGTCAAAGTCCAGACCTGATTCCAATGGTATGGTATGGTATAAAGTTTATTAATTTAAAAAAATACAAAACAATTTCATAACAATATAAAAAATACAAGAGATTTAGAATGAAAGGCAGCAGAAGAAGAGAAAAATCTTATTATATCTGCCCGTTTTTTTCACACAATTAGTTCAATCACAATAATTTTCAAGTAACAGAACAAAATGAATAACTCTTTTTAATTTTTCTAATTCTAATACAAAAAGCACATTAAGCTACTTCATATATTTTTTTTTAACAAGTCAGCTTTGATCTTTTTCTTAAATGTGCACATTGACTTGGCATTTTTAACATCACTCTCTAGACCATTCCATAACGGTCCAATTCAATTGAGAATCTGTGGAAAGAGCTGAAGACTGCTGTTCACAAACGCTCTCCATCCAACCTCACTGAGCTCGAGCTGTTTTGCAGGAAGAATGGGCAAGAATTTCAGTGTCTCCATGTGCAAAACTGATAGAGACATACCCCAAGAGACTTGCAGCTGGAACTGCAGCAAAAGGCGGAGCTACAAAGTATTAATGCATGGGGGCCGAATAAATAATATTGCACGCCCCACTTTTCAATTTTTTATTTGTTAAAAAAGTTTGACACATCCAATAAATTTCATTCCACGTCACGATTGTGTCCCACTTCTTGTTGATTCTTCACAAAAATTAAAATTTTATATCTTTATGTATGAAGCCTAAATGTGGCAAAAGGTTGAAAAGTTCAAGGGGGCCGAATACTTTCGCAAGGCACTGTATATATATATATATATATATATATATATATATACACACAAATAAATAAATGTATATTCAGCAGTGACTGTGGTCGGTGGTGCACAGTTGATGTACAGCTGAGTTAGACTGAACCAGCTCAAACTTAAGAGGGGGAGGGTGGCAAGTATTTAGAACTGAGGGAATTTTTAAACTTGACCAGATCAATGAAACAATTTTTCTTTTCTTTTTTTTTTTAATTAAAATTTTATCACAACATAAAAAATTTAAAATTTTAAAATAATTATTTAAATTCTAAATTAAATTGCCCCGATCAAGGAGGCTGCATGTTGGAGCAGCTCTGTTACTTTCATTCTGAGATTTTGCTTTTGGAAACTTTAATTCCTCTTTTTCTGGATGTAAATCACATTTTTTGGATGATTGTTTCCTCTGGTATCAGATGCTGTGCAGCTGGAAGGATTTTTACTGAAACTTCTTTTAGTTTTGGACATTTGTTATGATGCGTAACCATGGCAATAAGGCAGTTTTCTACAACCAACAGCAGCTGATTAACATCTCAAAAGCTCAAATAATATCTCAATTACAACCCCAAATCTCAAATGAGTTGAAAGGATGTTCTGTGGACGCATTCTCATCTACCTGCCAGCTGTGCTCGAGTGCCTGACCACTGAGATCCTGGAACTAGCAGGAAACATGGCTCATGATAGTGGAAGGACAGGATCGTCCCTCGGCACCTACAGTTGTCTGTCCACAGCGACGAGGAGCTCGGCAGACTGCTGGGAGGAGTGGCCATCGCACTGGGAGAAGTTCTGCTCAACATTCAGGTGGTCCTACAGCCCGGGGGAACCAAGAGGCCAGCCGAGTCTGGGTGGACGGATCGGACTACATCTGCAGCCAGTTTCTTAGGATCCACTGTGGGATGGACCTTTACAAGAGATCCTTCCT